GGGAACCACACAAGCATGAAGACACTGAAAAAAGAGCAGCATCTTGAAGCATCTCCCATTGCCTCCATCCACACTCCACCGAGCCAGTCAGGAGGGTGTAAGAGGTGGGAGAGATGCAGCTGAGCTGACCAAGGCGAGAAGTGATGAGTACGTGGGAGTCAGGCAGGGAGGAGCGGGACCAGGGTGAAGGGAGACTGAATAGATCTCCTAGTAGTTTAGGAAAGCTTTTTAAACTGCAAGCCATCTTGGGGCTTTGTTCGCCAATGTGATCTAACCAGATGGTCCAAGGGGTCTCAGAAAGAGCAGCCCAAGCACCTCTCAGGAGGCTTTGTATAATATTCATGCTCCACCCACTACTCCACCAATTTAGGCACCCAAATGGCCCGTAACTCCCACGGGCCCAGCCCCAGCTCCAGCCCCACCAAAGAGAGCAATACAGCTCAAAAAACGGCAGAAAACATAGCTAGGCATCAGGAGCAGAGCTCCCAAGGGCATTCTTCTCAAAGCGTTGCCGTACCTGAACAAGGATGAGCTTGCACCGCAGCGGCACTGCGTCTGGGAACTCCTCTCCAAAGCACAGCATGACTCTGCTCTCTGGGAAGCGGCCTTGGTTGTTGTAATACTGCTGCAGCTCTGCGAGGAGAAGAGCACAGCTGGAAGTCACCCAGCACAGCTGTGAGCATCTGCTACCCAACCGCACACCTTAGGGAACCGAACGCATCCTGCCACAGAAGAAACCTGTCAGCTTGCTCAAAAGAAATTAGCTTGTTTTCGTGCAGTCTCCACCCATGAGGAATTTGGTGACACTTCATACACCAGATCGTTCCTTTCTGGTATGAAATAACTACTTGTCCAGAGTATCAGACACCCCTGGTTAACCCAGCAGTGTTGGATTCCAATAACTTCAAGTGCTCCAAGGCAAAGGGCTCACCTGGGGCAGCCAGAGGATTTACTTCCCTAAGGTTATTTAGCCAAGCAAGGATTTTAAGAGCAAACATTGGACACTTTGGGCCAGATGCTTTGGCCCCACATGCCCAGGCTCGTGGACTTCAGCATTAGGAAGTACAGTGCAGCGGTTAGAGCCATCAGGGTTGTCCCTCAGCCAGTAGAAGAGCCATCAACAGCACCTTCGCAGCTGAGCTGAGCTCTGCCTCCCTGCCAACACTAGCAGGATCACTAGGGCAGGAAAACAACAAAAACCCCTACCCTGGAGTGGATGAAGAGAAACAGGGAGGGGAAATGCTCCTACAAACCTCGGAAGAACTGGTTGGTGTCAAATATCTTCACTACTTCATCCCGGTCCAGTTTGTTGGGCCTGTCCTTGTACACCATGGTGTTCCCGCTCCAGAAGACCCTGCCTTGGCACAGCCTCTTGATGAAAATGCCTTGTTTGTTGCTGTGCAGCAGGACGCCTCGTTCCAGGTGCCCAAAGAGCTTCTTTGTGATCTGCTTCTGGCGGTCGTTCTGGATCGCTTCAGCCGACGGGAACCTCACATGCTCCAGGGTATCTGGGGCATAGAGCTTCTCACTGTGGCTGGAGGGCTGGCTGAGCGAGATCCGGCAGCCTTCAGGGTAAGAGGTGGTGATGTGGCCAACCAGCCTCCCTCCATAATAGAAGCTGATCACCATCTGGGAGTAACCTGTGAGGAGATGTGCATAGGCACAGCCTATGAAGAGGAGTAACCAAACCCTTCCTGAGCTTCAGCTGCAAGGCCCAAATCCTGTGAGGAACAGCATTTCCTGGGAGCAGGTCTTACTCACTGGAGGAGACCTCTTACTTGCTAGAGGACATCTCCTCTTGCTTTCAGCCTTATAGCAGGACTGATCAGCAAGTGAGAGCTCTGGTTACTGAACCCCTTTCTCCCGGCTGATGTCAGCTTTTGACATGGTACCATATTTGCCCAGGTAATACTCACTTCCCCTAGTTTTGCCTCTCTTCCCATCTACTCCATTGATGTACAGCTTGGGTAGATGACTGGAGCCTAAATCATTTTATGTAATAAGTGCAGCCGTTATGTGCAAGAGCTGAACACCATTGACTTGCCAATCTGACCCATAGGAAGGATGGTGTAGTGGTTAGAGCAACAGGGATTACAGCAACCCCTCATGCTGCAGGTGGCATTCAGCAAAATCCTCTTGTCCTGCTGCTTTCACTCCACACTTCCCCTGCTGTGGGCAAATCTCCAAGTCAAAGGCACAACTGACCCCAGTGTCCTGGGTCAGTCCCGTGCATGGGTGCCGTGGCTGCAGGACACCCCAGCAGCAGTGGAACGTGTCCCCGCTCAGCCTGCAGACCCTGCAAATACTCAAGCACCCCCAAAGCCAGTGCAGAGTCCCCCTGGGCAGGGAGCAGAGTTAGCAGAGCCACCTTCTGCCATCACACCTGCGTGTGCAAAGGGGGGAACCAAGCTGCCCAAAGGTATTTGATGGCCAGTGTGCAACCGAGCAGAGAAAGCAGGGCAACAGGAGCTGTCTTACCTGAATGATGCTGCTCATAGCCAGAGTATCCATTCATCAGGGGCAAAGCTGTTGGCAGAAAAAAAACAGAACTGTGCCCATGTGCCCAGCTCTAGGGAGGGGGCTTCCTCCCTAGAGCCCACACACACCTTCCTGCCTTTCCCAAATGCCAAGTCCTGCTTGGCACCACCGAACCCCCCCTCCCCACCAGCATTTCTCTCCCTGGGAGCCTCGTGCTCATCAGGGTTCCCTGTTCCTGCTCAGGAGATACCAGTGAACACGCTAGGGTGGATTTAATCCTGTGCAAGGAGTATTGCACTACCAGGTCTCTTGTACCGACAGCAACATTCACAGTTAATACTGTAAGCATTCTTAATAAACTGAAAGATGGAAAGGAAGATAAAACATAGCTGCTGTCTAGAGGGAGCCTGTCTTACTGCACTGTGTTTTCTCTCTGGCAGTGGCTCCCCCGGACAGGAAGCTCGGTCCCATTAAACACTGCACAAGCTACCGGCTACTTACCAGGGCTGGGTTGCTGCACCCACCAGTCTGGTATTGGGGGGTTTCTGCAAGTCTCCTGAGGAGGTGAGGGGCTTCTCTTGATGATACCCAAGTATTCATCTACACAGGGGGGCTGGAGCAGGGAGAGAAGCCCGTTAGATCAGCCAGACAGAGCCCAAGCCAAAGCAGGCTTTTGGTCACTGATCTGCCCTGAGCCGCTCATGGGGGCCAGCAGTCCCTGAAAAGGGGTCCAAAAGGCAAAGCAAGGAGGACAGAGTTTAAGGCACTGATGAATGCTTTTGGTTAGAAAGGAGGAGTTTGGGAATCCCCAGGCTGTATCCCCAGATAACACTGAGCAGAACTGGCCCAGTGTTACGCCACGACGAAGGGGAACAGAGCTATGAAAACGCCCTCTGTCTCCCCAGTGAATGTCTTGCCAACCCAAATGCAAATTGAAAGCACAGTCCATTCATGGGTAACTGTCCTGAGGCCTTGTGTTCACTTACACGAATGAATACCACCATTGTAGCTGTAAGACAGCATTTTGGGCTATTCCAATTCCAAAAAGTCTCCACAGATTTCACTTTAGAAAGGCAACATTTCATCGAGAAACTTGGCTGTCCATCCTTTCCTGGTCAAAAAGGTCTCCAGGGGCCGTGATGACTTACCTCTTTAATTAGGTCATCTATTGCAGAGGGGCTGCAGTCCATGTCCGTGACTTCAGTCAAGCTGTTCCCGTTCATGATGCCTATTTTGCCTGGAAAGAAGTACAGAGCTTCAGCAACGGCATCCCGCCCTTACAGCGATCCAACGCGGAGCCAGCTGCTCGCGTCATCACTGGGTTTTAGAAAAAGCTCACCCTGTGAAAGTTATGAAACCGAGAACCACAGCAACCCAGTGCCCCGTAACATCGCCTGGGTGCAGCTCACTGGGGCTGGGCAGTTTCCTGCCCGGCCCCTGCTCCAGCTGGAGCTGCCTTTCAGGGCCAGACTCCCCCAGAAACCAGCCCGCGAGTGGTTTCACCAGTGCAAGGTCTCCCTGTGACGAGCAGCAAGGTCGGTCGAATTCAGCAATGGGGACAGAGCTGGTGATGGCACCGAGTTTTTTCTGTGCACCCTAGAGACAGGAGGTGCTGCTGCTTCTCCTTTTTCTGTGTGCTGTCGGTAGCAACCTGACATGCCATTTGCATACTGCGCAAAGCCCTGAGCCCCCCATGTGAATGCGACTGAAAAAAGACCAAAATGCTAAAGGGAGATTTCCTGGCAATGAGTGTGGTGTTTTTTTTTTTTTTAAAAAGAAGTTTTTACTTTAAAAGAGAAAAGTGCACACACACCTAACCACAAATAAAGATATACTTAGTGCAGCCTGCACCACACCGGACATCGCAGCAACAACTGCTCTCCGCTCAACTGCTGTTACTCTAATCACTGCTGTCACTACTGGGCAAAGGGGAAGGGATTTAATTGCATTTATTCTATTGCATAGATTGCATCCTCCCAAAGCAGTTTGGAGGCACCATGAGGGGAAGGACAAAGCATTGGGGCTCAGAGACCTCACTGGAGGAAGGACTTCAGCTCTGCCCCTACAACATGCCAATGCCACCAAAGGAGTAGCACGCAGGAGCATTTGCCTGGCTGCCCAGTTTGTGGCTCACAGGTGGCATTCCCCCATCTTTCTTTCATTTGAGAAGATGGAGACTGAAGAGGAGGCACAGTCTGAGCCCTCCAAGGCTCGAGACCGTCTATCTAGGAAGAGGTTCGATCATGAGGTTGGGACAGCAGAGATGGAGCGAGAGATGGATCCCGAGCTCTGCAGCAGCCCACAGGGAGGCTCTTTACATCTCAGCAAGGGCTTTTCTCCTTTTCTCTTTGCCGACAAGTAGCATCTGAATCCTTACAGGACAGGAGCTCACACGATACTCCAGGTAGGATCAGCTCTTAGGGAAAAAGAGGACGTCCTTCATTCCCAGCCGACCTGGCCATAGCAGGACCACAGGGCCAAAGCACAGGGGTGCGAGAGCAAGACCCGGCCCAGGAAGCACAGCTCAGTGCCTAAATGTAGGTCAGCAGCAAGAGGCCACTTCTGTTTTCGCCTGCGGTTACTTGCAGGAGAGCTGTGGCCTGTCCCAGCTGCAAACTGACGTTCGGGTCAGTCCCACATCTGGACACTTACACTTCTGCTCTTCCTCTGGGACGATCCGGTAGACCTTGTAGGGCTCAGAGATGTCCAGCTGGGACCTGTCTGTCACCTCCTCAAAGTCAGGACTCTTGTTCAAGGCACAGCGGAGCCGCGTCTTCCAGGTGGCTGGCTCTGCTTTGTCACCTTCTTTGAACTTGCCTTTGAAGACGGCCCAGGCCTAGGAGCAAAGCACAAAGCCCAGAGCTGAAGAAGCAGATTTGCACGCCGAGGGCTAACTGGCTTGGACGTGCCTCTATGCTTTGGAAGCAGAGGTTCTTGCACTCAGATTTAAAAGCCCCAGAGAGCTTAGACATTAAGTCGTACGCTCCAAATCTCTGCCAAACAATTATGCCAGCCTAAGTGAGCCAGATTTGGCCCAGTGCCTTTTATACCACAGCTTAAACTAGAGCCAGGATTGTAACACATGACTTCACCCCTGCACTGACAGATGAGGGAAAGCTGTCTGGGATACAAGGAAACCCATCTGAAGTAGTGATGGTTTTCACGATCTGTTAACATCCAAATTAAAATCAGAATAAACGTCTATTTCCCAGCTTCCAAGTAGTAAGTGAAGGCTGGTTTATTTTAAGATTCGAATGCTCTTTGAATTTTTGGTAGAGAGGAGGGGAAAAAATGGGAAAATACATTTTCCCACCAAATAATGAAGACTTTTACATACACACACATATATTCAGATGTCTGAATTCAACACAGCCTTGCTGTCTTCATAGCTCGGCATTTGCATTCCTGAACTAGCCCTGAATTAGCTGTTACTGCCCTGAAAGACAGCTCCACCTGCTAGGGGAGACATTTAGAGATGCAAGTAGAAGGCAAGGGGATTCCTGCAAAAGACTTTGACCTTTTGGGTTCAAGAAAGGCTTTTCCAGTTTCCCCCCTCCCCAAAGTATAAAGTCTCTCCACCCGAGGAAAGCTGACCCTTCCTTCCTTCCCCTAAGGCCTTTTTGTCGATCCATTCTTTCCTCAAAAAGTCTCGTGGGAAGATTAGACCAGGTCAAAAAGAGCATACTCAGCTCCTCCTCACAGCAGACCAGAATGAGAACATGCTGAAAATGAATCCAAATCAGGCAGCTGCCAGAAAAGATCCAAACAACCCCCACACAAGCCCTCTGGAGATTCATTCCCACATAACGGGACGTGGCGAGGCATCTCCTGGAAGGAGCAAATCTGCAAAATCTGCAGAAACTGAGGATGTTTATCACCGGCCAAAGGCAAGTCCGTCAGCAACAAAAAACAGCATCACGGCACACAGGGATCAAGAAAACAAGATCAGCCATCCTGCCCTACCTTGAAAATAGAGGCATCCACCTCCTGGTTGTAATCCTGCTTCCCAGCGTGTTTCCAGGGGATGCGGAACATGGTTTTCTCCTCGTTTTCCCAGATCAGCCCAGGGTAGAGCTCGCTGTCGATCTGCTCAATCAGCCACTGCCGGAGCCGTCTCCCGCCGTTCCTGTCGCACATCCTGGAAGCGAGACGTCGCCGGCATCTGTTAAACCACCCCGAGTAATCCCACCTCGTTATGCGGGGATATCTACTATCCCAGCCCCAACGGTGCTACCGTGGCACGGAAAACCGCACAGAGACACAGTGACTTATCCGTTAGCACTGGAAAAGAGCTACTACATTTCCATGTTTCTCTAGTAAGAACTAGGGTACGGATGTGTTTTACTATGTTGATATGTATTTTTAGCCAACATGACTACAAGCAGTCCCTGCCACCAGAGCAGGGGATCAGCCTGCTAGAGAGCCTGCAGACGGCAATGCGATTTCCAGGAGAGGGGGGGGAAAAAAAAAGCAGCAAAGCAATTTTGGTACAAGTGACCACACTCTGCTTTAGTCCATCATGGTTGCATCTGTAAATAGCAACGCCTGCAGCAACAAACAGCTTCAGGCTGCTTACAGCTTCCCTCCTTTTTAAGGAGAAAAAAATACTGCCTACATATATATAGGCAGTATCTCTGCAGGCGGCTTCTAATAGCCCCTTAGCAGCACCCTCCCCTCCTGGAAAACAGCTTTCTGCAGGGCCATCATCTGCCCCAAAGCCCCCCCGGACAGCCCGAGGCCGGTACAGCCATGCTCGCCGGTATCCGTTTCCCCGGATTCGGACACACCAAGAACAGCAACTGGAATTCCCCGTGCCGGCAGCCACGCACGCGGCCCGCCAGCATTTCTGAATGGCATCTTTGATGTGATAATTCCTCCCCTCACGCTGGACAAGCGCCTGCGAGAGAGTTAAGGAAGACGATGAAAGCCCCAAGCAGCCCGTTCAGACCCTCCAGAAGCGCTGCTGAAAAGCGCCTCTATTTGAGACGGCGTAGGCATGGCAACAATAGCATGCTGTATTTTTGGAGGATTTCTTTTTTCTTCATCTGAATTACTTTAAATTCCTTTCCCAGCTCCTTTGATCAAAGCCCATGTGCTCCGGTCGCAGAAAACAAAATGACTCTGTTTACTCATTTTTTTGGCTGTGTGACATGTCGTGCATGAGCTACAGAGCCAGAAATTAAAGAGCCTGGTTGTGCTGTCACCTAAACAAGTGACGCTGCACAGACTGTCCTGGGGTGGATGGCCATTTAGGTCCATAAGAGACAGAAACCAAGTGCTCTAAGCTATCGGCACACTCTGCCCTTTAGCATCTCTTGCAGTGGCCCAAAGGGCAGGATTTCTGCATCAGATCCCCCCACATCCCATGCAACCCCCTCGGGGGGGGGGGGGGGGGGGGGAAGTAGGATTAAGTCACAACTCAAAGCAAAAGCAGCGAGGACTTCAGAGTCAGCTCATTTTTCTGCACGCAGCCCAGTGCTATACTTAGCAGCTGAGTTTCCTCTTGCTCGCAGGACTCCAGCCCCAGCGCTGTACTGAAGGCGACCGGCGTCCCCAGCCCGGTGCCACCCGATCGCGCTGCCAGCTTCGAGCCAGCTGCGCCTCAGCCAACGCCGGTGTTGAGGGTCGGCTTTGCCAGTACGCAAAGAGCTCACGTACCAGCTCTTCAGAGCTGACTTTGCACAAGACAGATAGGAAAAGGGAGAAACAAAACACCTAAAACCTGCCCTGATCCCGCAGTGCAAACCAGCTGCAAAGCACCAAGGAGGTCCCAAGTCTACCTGCTCTGCACGCTCAAAGTCAACAAAAATTGAGCATATTTGTCCCGAGATCCTCCTCCCCATTACACACGCACATCCTGCCCAAAGCAGCAGTTTCGTGGCCAAGGTCCCCTCTGACCGGGAAGGTGCTTCAGGGCTGCGTTTCCAGGGCGGCCCCCCGTCCAGCGGGTAGCACACACCAAGGCGCCTGGGGTCACACAACCACATCCTCTCGAGCACGGCAGGCCCACGGACAGACAGACCCGTGAGACAGAGCCACCCTTTCTGCAGACTTGGGCTCGTTTGGAGCAAAGGTGACTACGTAGCTATGGAGAGCCCGCAAGAAAAGCGCACCCAGGTTACTGAGCTGGAAGCAAAGCATCAAACCCAGCCTGACCAGGTGCCCCCCCATCACAGCAAGACCTGCAGGGACTTCACAGCACGGACCACGTCCAGGACCTAGCAATCATGTAAAAGCAATTTGCAGCACACACCCCAGCCAGCATCGCCAGCTGAGCAGCCCTGGGACGTGGAGGAGCGTCCCTCCGCCAACCCTCCGGGCCTTTGGGAGAAGTCAGGAGATTCCCAGCACTGGGAGGGCCCAGAGACGCATCACTAGCAGTAAAGTAGGTTAACAATGCTCCAAGTCGGAGGCACGCTCTCCCCACCCACCCGGCCTGTGGCTTTGAGTTGCTTAGTTTTCTCCTTCTCTAAGTGTTAGGGGACTCTATCCCCCTCATCCCCTTCCCCCTCCCCCTTTTTTTTTTTTTAATAGCTACCCCATGGGGCAGGGAGAGGAGCAGGATGTTCCCAGGACGCTCTCGGCACAGCCTGGGACCTGGACCTTGCCCTGCCCAAGGCTCCCATCAGCAAAGCACCTACCATTGTCTATTTTTCCATCTTGGCCACCCTATTCCTGCGCAATCACAGGCACCACCAGCTTCGCTGCCAGAAGCTCCAGCACCGCCCCTGCCCTTTAGGGGCTGGTTGGCCCCTGCTTTTAGGGGCAAGCACACGGCCACGTTCCAGGCTCCCAACATCAACAGCCAAAGCGACATGGGGGCACAGCTCTATGTCCCAGTGGCCCCTTCAGGAACCCGGTGCCCCAAAGCGCCCACAGGAGCATCTACCCAGAGCTACAGGCCGTTCGCAGTGGGCTTCTCGCACCAAACAACTCACTCCGAGTTATGCTTTCTAGAAAACGGGATGAATTAGAAGAGACTCCCATTCAAATGGGTATTTCCTAAACCCTTCATTTTGACTTGTTTCCATCACTGGCAGAGGACAGGGCTCCATTTCCCCTTGCCAAAAGGCTAGGCAAGCTCTTTGGCACCAACGCCTGCGACACAAGGTGCGTGACAAGGCCTGACCGCTGGCTTCCCAGACGCGATCGTACCTGCCTTCCCCAGGCAGTGCCTGCATCGCCCAGAGCCCACCTGGTGCCTGACGTCCGCTTGCTTGCCGCCAGCCCAAAGCAGAGCCCCGGTGGCGCTGCTGGAGCCCGGCCCCGCCGGAGGGCCGGGGAGGAAGGCTCCGCCACCCTGTGTTGCCCCATCTCCACGCAATGCCCAGCAAGACTAGGGTGGCAGTTTGCATTCGTCCCTGCAGCCCCGGGTCCTTTGCTGCTTCGCTGCCCCCTCCCCAACCACAGAGCACAGCCCTGGACCTTGCGCCAGAGCAAACTCCCCAGCCCATGCTCCGGCTGCATCCTGTCCTTCCCAGCTGGCCCTGGGGTGGCTTTGCCCAGGATCCCTGCACCACTCAGCACCAAGCAGTCACAGGCCTCCCCTCCCCACACAGGACTGCAGGAACCAGCCTGGGTCTCCAGCCCCCGTGTCCCCAGCACCCTGCATCCACATTTCACCCAGTCCCAGTGCCTCAATTTTGCACATCCCCAGCTGCAACTCTAATGCCCCACAACCTCATTTGTGCAACCCCAGTGCCATGCAACCCAATTTTGCACATCCCTAATGTCCCACATCCTCATTTTATGCATTCCAAGCGCCCTGCACTCCAATTCTGTGCATCCCCAGCTGCATCCCCTAATGCCCCACAACCCCATTTCATGCACCCCCAGTGCACATCCCAACTTCGCGCATCCCGAGCGCCCGACATCTCACAACCCCCAAGCACTCAGCACCCCACATCCCTTGTGTCCCTACAAGCTCGCATCCCCTCCTCTGGGTCCCCTGTCCCCGGCATCCCT